AATGGGGAACAGTGACATGTAGTAAGTGGCGATGCTATCAAGGACGCTGTTAATGAAAGTTAATCTCTTCTCTCCCATGGATAAGTACTGCATCTGCAAAGCTGCCAGTCTCTTTTCAAACTTCCCAATGATCTCATTCCAGATTTCAGCATTCTTGTATTTGCTCCAAGAGGTAGACCTAGATAGGTGGTAGGGAATGACTCAATTGTGCAACCCATGATGTTTGACAGATCTAATTAGGCACATTGTTGACTGGATACATGATGCTTTTCAGCATGTCGATATGTAAACCTGATAAAGCTTAAACGAGGAGAAGAGTTAAATTCAAATACAACATTTGTGATGTTATAGCCTCGTAGAAGATAAGTGTATCATCAACATATAGCAAGTGTGACTCTGTGATAGAATTCCCAGGATCAATACTCACGTTGAAACCTTGAATCCACTGCATTTGCCTAGCCTTTTCCAACTTTTGCTCAAACCTTCCATTGCTATAATGAACAAAAAGGGGGAGAGGGGTCTCCTTGTCTGGCCCCTCTCTGAGGTGAGAAGAAACCTACTGGACCTCTGTTGACTATCACCGAATATTTCATGGTTGAGATGCTAATTTTGATCCATCTGTCTCCAAATCCCATTTCCCTAAGAATAGAGATGAGATAGGACCAACTGAGCTGGTCAAATGCCATTTCTATGTCAAGCTTGCACATCACACCAGGTTCACCACTTTGAATCCTCCAGTCAAGTACTTCATTGGCTATCAGTGCTGCATCCACGATTTGCCTGTGTAAAATTAAAACCATTTATTAGATGTCAAGCAGAACATAGTGTCTGAAAAATTCTTCAAGTCCCAGAACAATCTTGAGGAAGTGGTTTGGCCAAAAACTACTCTCAAGGATGCCCTATGTTCTGGTAGCATTTTTGGAAATACTTATTCATGAAGTATTTCTTCGATCCTTATGAAACAAAGAGGCAACAAAGAAAGAGGCCTAACTACAGAATGAAAGACTATAAATTTGCTAGCTCGGTAAGAACAATCAGAATACAAGGATGCAAGGACGGGACCAGGCTAGAGGACTCTCTATCGTCCCCATCGTCCTAACAGCCAATCACGTCACGCAATTTGAGTTACGAACTGTTTGATTGTTCTTGGGAAACTGAATCCGTAACACAATCAGGGGTGCCGGGCTTGGCTCAATATCGGGATAGAAGGAGGCCTAGTTTCCTAGGCTGTTTTCCGGGCTAAGGTAACAAAAGTAGGGTGAAAGCTTTGATAACTAATAGTAGCTCACTAACTTTTTGTATCTTACGGATACAGTTTAATATGACTTTCAGATCAAATGCCTGAGACCTAGCAGCTAACAGATTTAGAGTTGGGTCCTAACTGTTAATTACGAGATACATACTGTATTCTTAGCTAGCGTTTGGCCATAAATTCCCATATTTGTTCTGAAAAATCTGATTTGGGTGAAGTTTGGTTTGAAGATGAAAATGTGTTTGGACATCAGTTTTCAAAACATATTTCCCAAATTTATTTTGGAAAAACATGAAACATGACTTATACCCACAAGTTCTAAAAACTATCACAAATACCCAACAGTACCATTATTAATAACATTCATTATATTATCGCAAACCACAGTCCTGAACATAAATAAATTTGATACAAAATTATCATTTTTATAATGAACTACATGATACACTATCAGGTGACCGAGAAGACGAAGCAACATTGTTACAAAATAATAAATGGTGGGCTATTTTATAAAATACAAAAGTTTGGGGCAATTTTTAAAAAATATAATAGTGATATTTTGGTCCATTTGGGATTTGGAATTTTGCCAAAATGTAGGCAAAATCTATGGCCAAACATGTGTTTGCCAAATAAAACCCAAATTTATTTTGGCAAAATCTATGGCCAAACGGGTCCTTATATTCTAGTTGACTTTACTTTAAGAAAATCCTTAATATGAGCAATATGTATTTTTGGCATTGCAGCCCTGTTCCAATTGCTGTCCTTCCAATTTTGGATTTGCTTTCATCCATTGTCTAACAGACCGTGTCCACTATTGATCCACTGGTTTCTTGAGTTCTTTCATCACTTTTTTTTTTTGCAAAATAGAAAATGTTCTGAAAAATTGAAATCGAACTGGAACAAAATTTACTTGTTGGCCTCTTCCTACAACAACATACCTAGTATTATCCCACACTGTGGGGTTTGGGGAGAGTAGTGTGTACGCAAATCTTACCCCTACCTTGTAAGGATAGAGAGGTTGTTTCTATTAGACCCTCGGCTCAGGAAAGCATAAGCATCACATTAATGAAAATATAGACAAGAAGGGACAGTATCAAAAAGCCATATAAAAGCAGAATAAAAACAAGATAGTAAGGTGATCAACAATGAAATAAAACAACAGTTAGTCATAAAAATCTACTACCAACAGAAAGCGAGACTGCGTGCCAATACTACTTTTATGAACACTCCAGACTAACTACTCTACTACCCTAATCCTCGACCTCCATACCTTCCTATCAAGGGTCGTGTCCTCAGTCAGCTGAAGCTGCGCCATGTCTTGCCTAATCACCTCTCCCCACCTCTTCTTTGGCCTACCTCTACCTCT